AGAAGAAGGCCTAGTGCCTGAGAAACAATGCAGAGAGAAAAGAGATGTAACTTTTTAAGAGCCTGAGATAAGGGAGGAGAAGTTAAAGACAACTGGGCTTTTTAGTTTGAGAGGTCAGCTTTGCAAGGACAATGCCACCTGGCCATTTGTAGCGCATGGGGGGACTGGACAGTGGAATTTTTAAAAGCTCCTAAATCATTTTATTATGCAGCCAAGCATGTGAACCTCTGACTTTGATAGTTTCTTTCTGGTTGAGGCTGACAGAAAAGGACACAGCTTTTGTGTGCCAAATGCTTGTAGCCCAGCCAACAAAACATGGATCTGCTGAATAGAGGTGAAGCCTCATCATGAATAACTTGGGGTCTGATGGGCCCATCCAAGTGGCAGTTTCACTGATGGTGGCTTTTATTAACACATAAAATTTAAGTAAGGAGAAGATTATTTGAACTGGTTAACATGGAATCAGTAGGCTAGGTACAACCATACTGTGGGTAGTAAGAATTCCTAACTACTCTAGTACAGTGATTATCAAAGTGTGGTTCTCAGACCAGCAACATCAACTTCATCTAGGTACTCGTTAGAAATTCGTGCATTCTAATCCAAACCTAATGATCACAAGCCCTGGAAATGAGGCCCAACAATCTGTGCATATTTTTTTAATGAAGTAAACTTAAAATTTTGAAATAATTATAGATACATAGTCAATTGTAAGAAACAATAGAGAACAATCCCATCACCTTTGCCCAGTATATCCCAATGGCAGCATCTTGCAAAACTATAGTACAGTGTCACAGCCAGGATATCAACACTGATACAATCAAGTCAAAAATAAGAGTTCTTCTACCATCATAAAGATCTTTCATGTTGCCCATTTATAACCATAATTTCCTCTTGCCCTCATCTACTTCTTAAGCCCTGGCCACTACTGTCCCCATTTCTATAGTTTTATTATTCAATAATGTTATATAAATGGAATCAAACAATATAATTTGGGGGGATTGGCTTTTTTCATTCAGTATAATTCTCCAGAGAGTCATCCAGGTTGTGTGAATCAACCAGTCAATCATTTTGTTTCTTTGTATTGCTTAGTAGGGATGTTTGTGTAACCATTCACCTACTGCAATCTTGTTTCAACCAGCCATCCAGGCAATTCTGTTGCATGTTTGTTTTTGAGAACCACTGATCTCTAGACAAAGAACTTAAAAAGACAGAAAAAAAAGCTTTCTTCTACTGCCACTTCCTACTCACTGACCTTACAGTTCTTCTTGGAGATAAGGAAAACCACTTCTTTTCATCTTTACCACTACTGTTAACACAGTACTCTCTATCCTTCCAGTAACTGTTCTGGACACCAGGAAGATAGCAATGGAAAAGGTATACAGGTCCCTGCTCATGATTAACCTTCAGGACAGTGGGGCCAGAAGAGATAATAAACAAAGTCAGGTCAAAATAAATGCCATCTGCTTTCAGGCCAACCAACCCAACGTGGCCCTCTTGAACATAGCTCCAACATGAGCACTTGGATTCTGATGGGCCCATCCAACTACATGTTTGAATCTACTGGTCACTGAGAAAAGATTCTGTACTAAGGAACTTTAGCTGAGAAAGAAGATACTCAGGAAAATATTATTCGTAACAGCAAAATCCTGGAGATACTCCAAATATTCAATAGTAGGGAAATACTTATGTAAATTATAGCAGACCCACTCTAGAGCATATGAAGTCATCAAATTGATGATTACTCAGACAACATAATGTAATGAAAATACCTTTTTCTAACATCATATAGAAAAAAATCAAGATATTGAGTTATATATACTGTATAATTCTAATAATATTTTATAAAGGAAGAAAGATTAGACTTCAAGCAAATGGATGAGGAAACTTTGGAAGAATATAATTATAATTATGACTATCAGGATACTGAGTTCACAGATGCCAACTTTTTTCGAACTCTCTAATTTTCACTAATTTCATTATCTTTGAACCTATCTACATACATATAAAGATTTTAAAATATTAATAAATGTTGACATTATGACATGTTAGTGACTTTTGTGTCTTTTCACTCAGAGAAGAAAAACTATGAAGGTAATAGAGCCACTCTCCACAATATTAATTTCAATAGATCAGGGTGGACACCGTGAAGAAAAAGATTCTTCAGAGTCTTCCAAGTATACTAGTGTCTAGTTGTATTCCTCAAAATGCATCTTATGTTATGAAAATCTCCTGGCTAACGGAGAGTTGACTAGTGTCCCCAGAAATTTTGTATAATGTCACAACCTCACAAAAAAATAAGAAATAGCAGAAGGATGGCCAAGTAGGAATCGTATCCCACAAATGACTCTCCCATGTCCTCTTCACTCTGTCAGAGGAATGGGTATATTACTCTCGGTAACCATGGCAAGAATCAAAATACGTTTGCCAAATAGATGAAGAATGACTATTTAGACATGTTTGTGGTATTCTACCATATCTTTTAAGCCTTTTATAGAGCTCTTTTCTTAAAACAAAAATTTTATCCACAACTAAAACTGACAATGAAAATTTCATTATAAAAACCAATTTTGGGTGATCTGGGAAGGGTGCATGACAATGTCAGAACTTTGCAGTATCTTGGCTTTATTACTGAGGTTGAACTCATAGAGAAACAAATCCAAAACAAACAGAAGATATATTGCTGTGATGGCTAATTTTATGTAACAACTGGACTGGGCTAAGGGATGCTCAGATAGCTGGTTAAACATTATTTGGAGTGTATATGTAAGGATGTTTCTGGACAAGATTAGCACCTGAATCAGTAGACTGGATAAAGAAGATCCACAGACATCATCCAATTCAGTGAGATTTCAAACAGAGCAAAAAAGGTGGGGAACAAGTGAATTCTCCCTCTCATCTTGAGATTAAACACCCATCTTCTCCTCCTGCCCTCTGAGGTCACAGCTCCTGATACTCAGACCTTTTACCCTGAGGCTTAAAACAGTGGTTCCTCAGGTTTTCAGGCCTTTGACCTTGGATTGGGAGTTTACCATTAGCTCTCCTAGTTTTCAGGGCCTTCAGATTCAGACTGACTCATATCACTGGTCTTTCTGGTTATCCAGCTGACTAATGGCATACTGCGTGACTTTCCAGCCTTCACAATCACATGAATCAGTTCCCATAATAAATGACTTCTTATGTCTGTATATCTCCTATTAGCTCTGTTTCTCTAGAGAACTCTATCTAACACAGCTGCCTACATGTTATGTGTAGTTTTCAGTGCTCAACAACAAAGTTAATAATCAGAAGATAATAAAGGAAAACAAATCAGGAAATCTGAAAAAAATACAAATTATTATTTAATATCAACCTCAGCACTCATAGCAAAATGATACATTTAAATTTCAGTACATAAAATAATTCAAAATACTCATGAGGCTCATATTCTATCCTAGGCTGTGTATCATGGGAAAAGACCAATAATCAAGGAACTTATTGAATATATGGACTCTGATTTACACGGAAGAGTCATGGAAAGGACCAAAAGCAAAAGCCAATCTTGACTGTAGGCTAGAAGGACTAGTCAGAAACCAAAAACTCTTTCATTCCCTCATATCTGCAAAATCTTTTTCCTGTGTTTTACAGAACACAAATCTCAGAGTTCTCCTCTTCCTAACTACTATTTTAACTATCCCCTCCCAGCCTGCCCTCCTTGCTCTTGTCTTCATCAGTAGGTCTAGAGAGTTTAGGATATGGGAAGAATCACCAAACTAACATTTGATTGATTATACATGTATAGGAATAGTAAATATTTTTAAACTTCTGTTCCTACAACCAGATTGCACTGGGGATTAGAGATTTCTATTTGAACTCTCTAGTATAGCTACAGCAGAATTATTAATAAAACAGTAAAGCAAATATTCATTAATCACTTATAAATACCAGGCACTGTCTTAAGTACTTCATACTAGCTCAACTATCACAACTACAATTTGATGTTGATACCATCATTTTCTCCACGTTGTAAATATGGAAATTGAGGTTTAGGAAGATTAAACACACTTGTTCAAGATTGCAGTGAGATACCGGCAGGGGCTAGGATGCCGGGGGAGAGTAGAAAAAGAATTCAAACCCAGGTCCTCTAAATTTGAAGCTGCATGTTTCACTTTATGGAAGACCCTTTGGAGAACTTTGCTTAAAACTGTCAAGAACTTTTGATTTCCAAACAAAGTTATGAACTCCAATTAAGAGAGGTAGAAATCTGCCTTAGTTCATGATGGTCTGACCAACTCAGGCTCGTATGTGAGTCTCTTATCTAAAGCTTGGGTGAAGATAAAATCAGAGCCATAAAATGCATTGCATTAGTAGACCCTGTAAACCAGAGTTGGGGGCTGGATTTTACATATCTTCTGCGTGCATACAAGAGGGACAAATGTGTGTTTAAAAGTTCAAGCATGGGGCAAATGGCAAGAAAGACAGTGCAGGTATCATTCTACTACACTGTGTCTGGACATAGGGAGAATGCTTTGAAATGTGACATAGAAATGGCCTTGGCATTGTGAAAAATACCCAACACAAAAGCTAAAAACAAGTCTAAACTTCATGTCTAGAACGAAATCTCAGCTGTCAAAAATAGTCTGCAGATTGCAGGAAGTTCTCCAAAATCTATTGGGATGAACAATAATAAATGATTGGGTCCACAAATGAGTTTACCATTCATTTTGGCACTGCCAGAAAATGTACAGCCACAGTGGGATTTATATGATGAGTAATATAGTAATGTTTAAAAAGAAAGAAGCAGTAATACTCATATTGCTTCATATTAAACATTTTAAAACTGTTTAGACATCACTTCCTAAAAACTTTAAGAATGGTTATGAGAGGATGTACTCAACTATGAAGAAATACTATTGCTTTTTTTTTATAGTCACATATTCAGAGTCAGTTTGTTACTATGGAATCACATATGATGTCATAAATTTGACATTCTAAATGCAAATCTAGGCAGAGTAACCGAAACATCAGGAAATGGAGCTGGGGAGAGGAAAACCTGCATAACAACGAAAGAAATTCAGGACTTAAAAGAAATGAGTCAAACATCCCTGAAACAGAAAAAGAAGGTGAGTGAATTGAATGTCCTAGAATGTTGCCAACGAGCTAAAGAAATGTAGACGTCAGGTGGGGGAGGCGGGATGGGACATTCAACACTTTTTTCCATTTCAGAAACCTAAATGTCCAAAAAAAAAAAAAAAACCCAACACACAAAAAAACGCATTAAGAGGTTTATTTGGGTAAATGGCCCGTAGTGGATTTTCCCAAAGAAAGGGGGAAGGAACAAGCGGGTAGACCTTTCTCTTTGGACAGAAGCTAGAAGGCAGGAAACTTGGTGCGGTGTCACCGTGAGCACCTCCTCTGGGAATGTTCTGTAACAATTAAATCACTTCAGATAATGACTATATCTGGAGCAAAGGGAAGGAAAATAAAGAATATAAAGAATGGAGAAAAGTGAGATTAAAGCATTCAGAATCAGTCTATCTAATAATATAGCATTTATTAAGCATGTGCTCATATGTTAGTGGCAAGAGAAGAAAACACTGTTGCTATCTTTGAAGAATGCACAGCTTAGTAGGGAAGAGAATACATAAACAAAGTACAATTCAGTGCTCAGTAAAAGTATGTACAAAAGACACAGGCAACACAAAGGAATGTTTAACTCTGGGAACTTCTCCCAGGTCATGCTGAGCTGGGTTTTGAAGAAGATTAAAGAGAAGAGGAGGTTACAAGGAAATAGGGTGATATGTAGACAAATACAAGTCATTTAGCACAAGCGAACATACAGATAAATGTGTACTATGGTGGGCAAGTTGGAGGTAGACAGGATACACCATGAGACTCTTGGTCTGTAAAGCCAAGTGAATGAAGAGTGTATCTAGAAATGAAGCATAACTATATTTATGTTTTATAAATAGCCCTTTAAACGGATGGGGTCAATGGATCTAGAAGTTGGGAGGATTTGAGGTTATGAAATCTAATTAAAAGTCTATAATATTAGGAATGCAGGCCCATAACGTTCTGAGATCTGGAACAAGGCAATGATAATAAGGACGGAGAAAAGGGATTTAGTTTTAAATATCTTTTGCAGTTATAAGTGACAGGATTTTATGGTGACGATGTGGGGAGTGGCTGGAAGGATTTTAGGATCTAGTTCTAGGACCACATAGCTCTGCCATTCTCTGCTGTCATAGACTCAATCATCCAACTTACACTGATGCAAAGAGTATTACGCACAGACTGGTCCTGACCACATTGGTCTAAGCTAGAAGCTGAGCTCTTAAAACAGAGAAATAACACTAATCTTGATCACAATACACCTACCAAATTAGCATGAAGCAATACAAATAATGCTCCAATACAATGGTATTTTCTGCAATTGAAAAGGAACATATTTGAATAGTGTCCATGACTGTCCATGGGCTCTCCTACATAGTCTTCCCTATCAGTTTGTTCACAAGAGACCTCCTTTCACTCTAGCTGGTATGAATAATTAGAGAATATGTAGAGAAGGTAGAACTGTCAAGAGATCTGCATAGGATTAAGAACCTTGATCTTAAAAATCAAGCTACTATTGGTGAGGTTTAGATTCACAGAAGATTGGAGTTAGGGTTTATTAAGAAAACAAACAAAAGAAGTTTCAATTCTACATGGCAAAGGAAAAGCTCCCTAAGTAGCAACCTTCATAGTATTAGAGAAAATAAAAGTTATTCTGTGGGGGAAATTTCACATTTAAATCAAAGTCCTGCTAAGCTCTGGAAAATTCTTCCATAGCATTTTTGCCTGCTATCATTTTTTTAAAATGATAAATGCCTCATGCCTCAAATCTACAAACCAAAATATTTCTATATTAAAAAAATGTTTATATAGTTCTTTGATATGTGTTATTTTTATTAACATCTGTTAGAACAGAAAGAAAATGTCTAAAATTTATATATATATGATATGTATATCATATATATATTAATTATATTGGAAAAGAGGCAAATTCTAATTTTTATTCATCCTTTTATTCCCAAACTCAAGGTTTCTAATGCTCCTGAGATTAATTAATAAACATTCTTTGTTTCCATATTAAGAATGAGACTGGATCGAGGAACTCAAAAGACAGCTTAGACACAGAGAAAAGAAAGGATTCTGAGAAATCAGGAGTTCGTCTGAGCACTCAGGTGAGCTGACCTCTTAAGAGTTAGTTAGAGAATTAAAGAGAAGAAAAGCACAACAGAAAATTTAAGGGGGCAGGAATGTTTTGGGAGGGAAGACTGAGCTGCCAAGGTTTCTATTAAGGGATACCTAATGTCCTCATGGAGAGGTTAAGGACAAACTAGGAGAAGCTAGTCCCTGCCTTCCCCACCAGTAGACATCCCCATAGCCATCTTCTCTGTTCAGCCTATGGGAGGAGACTGGTCTTTGTTCAGATCAGGGAGGGAAGGGGAGTCTGGCCATCGCATTGACCATTTTCTGCACAATCTTTCAGATGAGGCGTGCAGTCAATCCGAATCACTTGCTGAGATGTTGCCCCATGCGAGGTCACTCGTCGTGTAGACGCTGCCTTTGTGCAGCTGAGGGAACAGTACCTCTTGGCCCCTGCCGCACAATACGTATTTATATTCACATGTGCCTGTTGTGGGAGCAGGGCCGGCAGATCACCATGATCAGGGTGAGCAGAGATCAAACTACTGATTTTGGAGGGGAGCCACAGGCAATCTGGGTGAGGGGAAGGATATGGGGAATAGAAATTTCCACTTGCTTCTCCATAGTATCTTCCAGTTTGACTCCTCCCAAAGGAAATGCTAGAGTATTCTACTTCCCCTTGGGCAGCTGATTGAGAGCCCTGATTCAGCCTCATTTAGATGCCAGCTGCCCTCATCTTTGTAGTCAAAAATGATAAATATGTCTTCTTAGCTTCAGCTAAAAGGCTTAGCCTTAAGGGAAGAAGTGGGGAAAAGGTCAGAAAAATGGTCAACACTACCATGGTCCATATAAGAGTCACAGATGAAAAAATATGAGACATCAGATTTGTTTCTTAGTTTTGGATTCTCCTCCAGGTGGATCTCCATTTTTTTCTCATCATAAAATTTAGGATTGGGCCAGAGCTAGAATAGTACATAAGGGTCAACACTGAATTAAGGTCATATAGGACAGGGACCTTCTCACTGGGTTCTGCTATATTTAGCTTGAAATGGTGGTTCTGTAGGCACATGCACAGCAGGAGTGGGTAGTGGGGTATTACACCCCTGGGTCTCTTCTTTCCTCCAAAGGGATCACAGGAATTATCATTGCCAAAGACTGATTCCCGGGGGTACGTTGTACGAAATCAGTGGTCCCGAACTTCACGGAGCCCATCCACCAGAGCTCCATCAGTAGACGAACCCAGAAGCAAGAACACCAGTCTTAAGGTAGAGATGGGAGATGAAATGAAGAGGAATGTGATATAATAATGATGATGATAATGATAATGATAATAATAATAGTTAACATTTATTGATGCTTTCTTTGTGCCAGGACCTATTCTATGTGCTTCACATGTTTTAGCTAACTCAGTGATCATTAAAACAAACAAATAAACCCATAAGCCCCATTCTATAGTTGAGAAAATTGAAACACAGAGTAACTTGCCTAAGATCTCACATTAATAACACTAACTGAGGTAGATTAAAACCCAGGGTCACTAAGTCTATAAGCTGTGCACTAACTTAATGATTAAGCCCTCTGACTTCTCCGTCTTTCCTTCGTTCATTCAACGATTATTTGCTGAGCAATCAAGACTTACAAGGTGGGATGGGCCAATGTTTACAGCAGCAATGTCCACAATAGCCAAACTGTGGAAAGAGCCCAGATGTCCATTGACAGATGAATGGATAAAAAAGATGTGTTTATATGCAACGGAATACTACTCAGCCACCAAAAAAAAAATCTTGCTATTTGCAACGATGTGGATGGAACTGGAGGGTATTATGCTAAGCAAAATAAGTAAATCAGAAAGAGATAATTATCATATGATCTCACTCATGTGGAATTTAAGAAACAAAACGGAGAATCATAGGAGAAGGGAGAGAAAAATAAAACAAGATGAGATCTGAGAGAGAGGAAAAACCACAGGAGACTCTTAATCATAGGAAACAAACTGAGGGTGCTAGAGGCAGGGAGGAGGCTGGGAGAATGGGGTCACTGGATGATGGAGATTAAGGAGGGCACATGATGTAATGAGCACTTGGTGTTATATGCAACTGATGAATCACTGAACTCTACCTCTGAAACTAATAATATACTATATGTTAATTGGATTTAAACTAAAAATATGAAGAAGGGGTGGAAAAATCAATGAAGTAGATAAATTGTTGAAAAGTATTGGATTGTGTGGTGCTTTGGTCCCTTAACTAGGCCTGGCCCCAGGAGAAGAAAATGCTATTTCTGAGATTAAGTTTTTGGATGCAGAGAAAGAGTGACACAGACCTCACCACTGGGAGAACATGTGTCTCTCTGAAAAGTGGCTCAATAGTCTAACCAAGAATATGCCTTTTGAGACATGTGAAACAATCATAAAAAGTGAAATAATATATAGATGCCTAATAATTTATTGCGCACTTTAGTAAAGATATTTTTTTCTAGAATCCTTCCTTTTTATTTAGGAAGATGACTCCTAAATAAAAGAGTTCCATTGGCAAACAGAGTTCTAAAGGCAATGGGAAGATACTCAGCCTTCCAGTCTACCAACCTTCCCAGCAATCACTGCATTAATTATAGGGCAAATGTATAAAGAGATACCTCCAGGTGTTTTGTAGAATCTGCTGGTGAGAACATCTGGTCTTAGTTGCTCATAGAGTTAACTGGAGGTCACAGATGAAGGTAGTAGTGAGCAAGAACATCCTACCTGGAGGTCTCTGACTGGGCAAGTTTAAGGCAAGCAAGCAACAGAACTTTGTGAACTACAGACCAGATGCCTAAGGGCAGGGAAGAAGACCTGTGCCCTATCCACTCCAGAAAAAAGGAAAAAAAAAAAAGTGTTAGTTGCTGATGGAGAAGGTAGGGGAAAATAAAAGCAGTCTATCTCTGTGTCCGTATAAGAGACATACCCAATAACTGGGGTCCTGAAACATCTGAGCCCCTTTAAGCCCTACTGAAAGGAGCTAGGATGAACCAGGATCCTAACGGCTAAGAATGGAACAGAGGGAAGGGGGACGCTTCTTGATTCCTGCTGGGCAGAGATGGGGACAGGTGAACATCTAACTCACACTCCTACTTTATTGCTCCAGCTCCCCAGTAGCTCCACAACCTCCCGGACTTCATCCACCTCCCCCAGCCAGCAAGAGTCCCTGAAGCAGCTGTCAGAGGAGCCCTCGCCACCCACACCACCTTTGCCTTCCACTCCACCTATGCCTCTGGACTCACATCCTCCCACCCCGCCCGAGCCCTTTAGCTCCTCCAGGCGCAGCACCAAGATGCACGAGAATCCTGAAGCCTGGGCACAGGGCATCCTGCGGGAAATCCGGGACTCCCGGGACTCCATGCCTCAGAGAGATTACCCGCGCACACCCCCCACTGAATGGAAGGCCTATATCCAGCGCAGATCAACCTACTCTTCCCAGCTAGATCAGGACTGTCTGTCAGAACTGCCCCGGCAGCATCACCAACGAGAGGAAGAGGAGGACGAGGACGAAGCCTATTGGGCCTCGGTGAAAACTCTGTATGAGAAGATCCCCAGCTGCTCCCGCCCCCGACCGGTGAGCAAGTCCCACACACCTGGTACTGGAAATCCGCCTCCCCATCCCCCCACCCCCCGCCCCCAGACCCATGCAACCCTGCAAACCTGAGTCTCTCCTAGCCTCCCTTCTCTCTAACTTGCGGGGAAGTCCTGTGCTGGCCCTGCATCTCCCCTACTCCTGCAGCCTCAGTTGGGAGGGAATCCTAACTCTTGACTGTCTCCAGCATCCCAGTGCTCCAAGTGGGGCCTAGCTGTTTTTTTCCCACCTTGCCCTGGCATCAGCCCCTTTTCTGATCCCTTCGGTCGTGTGACTGACTCTCCTCCCATTGGCGGCCCTTTCTGCAGCCCAAACCCAAGAATGCCATCACCATCGCTGTGTCATCCCGGGCGCTTTTCAACATGGTGGACGGGAGGAAAATCTATGAGGAGGAGGGTCTAGAAAAGTACATGGAATATCAACTCAACAACGAAAATGTTATCCTGACCCCAGGACCCGCCTTCCGCTTTGTTAAGGTACCCTGAAAAACTGTGTTTGTGGAATGTCAGGAACCTGGATGGAGAGGAAAGGACCCAGGCAGACCCTTGGGATCTCATCCAGTGTCCCTTATAATTCCTGGCACCCTGTTGTAATTCTTGCCCTTTTCACGTTGACCCCAGGTCAGTTTATGCTTCCCACAGAGGCTCCAAGACTGGTGAGGAGGGGCCTCCAGTTCTAGATTTGGGATGTTGAGAAGGCCTTCAATAGAGTTCTAATCATGACACCTGTTAGAAACACCTTTGTTCCCTTCCTAGGAGTGGTACCAGAAGCAATAATAAGCTTACAATCCCAGTAGTAGAAACAAAATGCCTCATTAAAATGAAATGAAATTCACTTTAGCTGTTTTTTTCCCCAAACATAACATATTAAGAAAAATCAAGATGATCTTGATTGGCACTTGGTTGGGGGTGGGGACATGATTTTAATAGAAAAAGTAAGGTTCTCTGAACTTATACTGAAATGTATAGCACTTATAACACTGATCCTCTACATAGCTTATGCAAATGTTACACAATAACATCATAACCAGGTAGAAAAAATGACATCTACAACCTGGGAATAGAAAGTACTTATGGGGCATGGTAGAAGCATCAGGGGAAACCACTAACCTAAAGACTCAAGTTTAAAAAATAGACAAAGTATGTTGGTAGCACATATCCTACAATTGGAACAATACAGAGATGATTAGCATGGCTCCTGTGCAAGGATAACATGCTAATTCATGAAGCATTCTATATTCTATATTTTCACAATTAATGATAATCTCAAGATGATCAAGAAAAGAAAAGCAGATTTTAGGAATCAAAGAAAGAAAAAAAAATTGGCAAAGCTTGGAAAGATTAGCCTGATCCTTCTCTCTACCTACCCCAAAGAGAGAATTCTAGAAAGTCAAATGTTGTTAACAATTTTTTCAACAAACATTAGCTACCTATTCAGCAAATATTAACGAGGTCCTGTATATGAGTCTGAAAATATAGAAACGAATGGCATAACCATGCCTTAAAGGAGCCATAATCTCTCAGAGTCTCCAGAGTTTGAATTTGACACCAGTGATATCCTTTCTCTCCAGAACCCAGACTCCAATAGCCACCTTGCCTGGCCCTCTTTACATGCACTCATGTTTGTAACCTGCAGGCACTGCAGCATGTCAATGCTAGACTCCGTGAGCTGTATCCTAGTGAACAGGACTTATTTGATATTGTACTGATGACTAATAACCATGCCCAAGTGGGAGTGCGGCTTATAAACAGCGTCAATCACTATGGTAAGTAAAATAAATACCATGTGGAAGAACAGCTTGCTGCTCTGGGAGAGAGAAGCCATGTTATTTTGCTAACTGTGGCCTCAGTAATGCAGTGTCTTTGATACTGACACCCCCTTCTGCGTGAGGAATGTTTATTTGCCTATGTCAGAGAAAGAGAGGCCATGTTCATTTTTAACTTTAGCACAGAGTTGGGCCCAAAGCCCTGGACTTAACTTGTCAAGTGTGAATTTCAAAGTCTTAATCCCAGCTCCTGCAATATATTTCTCTGCTTTATGTTTTTCACTTCTGAACTTGACTTCAAGGAGCCATCAACCCAGAGGCATTCTCTGTGTGATCAAACTTCTTGCTCACCACAGATCTGTGTTTAAGGTTTGTGGGTTTTCACCTTTCCTTTCCACTCTTACAATCTGATTCTCCCTGACTGCTCTCCCCACACATCAAATCCTTACCCATGTCAGCAAAATTATCTTTGTTCCTTTACGTGGAAATTCTGACTGACTCTAGTCCCCTCATAGCATTTCCATCAGTGTGTTGGATTCTTGAAGAGAAAATCCCCAATTTCCTGGTATGGAATTATATGACTTGTTATTTGGGGATCTTTAGACTATTTTCTAAGTGACCTATCCAGGTTTATGGGTACATCAAGTCAAAATAAGTTTGAACTTCGGCATATTTAAATTCAAGGTTTAAAGTAGGCATGCTTATGAATAATCAAGATGTATTATAACTAATGAGTTTTCCATTATCCTAATTATAAGGCTGATGTCTGAGGGGTCCCTGGGTGGCTCAGTCAGTTAGGCATCTTTCTGCCTTTGGCTCAGGTCATGATCCCAGGGTCCTGGGGTCTCTGCTAAACAGGGAGCCTGCTTCTTCCTCTCCCTCTTCCACTCCCCCTGCCTGTGCTCTCTTATTCTCTCTCTCTCGTTTCAAATAAATAATTAAAATCTTTTAAAATTAAAAAAAAGGGCTGATGTCTGAGATATATTTTTAAAAACACTTGGCTTTCAAAAATGCAGCTTTCATAGTGTTATGACATGGAAAGGAACACGGATAAAAGGTTTAGCATAGATGAGTACCATAATCACTCAGTAAATAGCAACTATTGTTTTTTTACAACACACAATCTTGCACAGTTTAGTAGGTGACTTAGGTCTATCTATCCCTCACCAAAATGAGCCCAACAAGGCTAGTAGCATAAAGAAGCATAGTTATCTACCCATCAATTCTGCTAATGAGTTGACTGAGCTCCATCTTCTCATGCAGCCTTATTCATGAAACACCAACAGCCTTTCACCTGGAAAAGGTAGTTAGTTGTTTCCCTTCTCTGGGTGTTGAAGGCAATTTGTATCTCCCTCTCCTATGGCTGTTACATTATCATTCTCTGTTTTACATGCCCAACTGCTCAGTGAACTGTGATCTCCTTATAATGGGGGAAGATGTTTTAATTGTTTCTGAAGTCCCCAATGCCACCAAATAATTTCTGGTCATATATTAATATTAATTTATATTACTTAAGGGTTTGCAGAATATACTTTTGTCACTTATGCCCAATGTCAGCTTAAGTGAAAAACTGAGAGTATTTCATTAACATCATAGCAAACCCTTCCAACTCAATTGTCAATGGACCACATCCACTCTGTGGGTCCATACAGATGAAAAACAACTGACTAGACTCAACATTCTGCTTTATATCATGTGCAGCTACCCAGTTTATTATGAATCTAAAAAAAGTTTGAATGGGTATATACTATCTTATAGGCATAATGTTATACTTTATTTAACCGTTCTCAAATCATTAAACAGTGTTCTGCTTTTATAAATTATCCTGAGAGACCTTTACACATAAATCTTTATCAGAGTTTCAGATTATTCCCTTAGAATAAAACTAACAGGTCAAAGGGTAAAAACCAATTACATTTCTTGATACATATCGTCAAATTACTTTCTAGGTAGTTTGTACCAATTTATATTTTCTTCTAAAGTGAAAATGGGTGCCTATTTTACAACACTTTAACCATTATCTAGCATTTGTTTTTTAATTGTTGTTGATTTGAAAGACATTTAATGGTATTTTAATATTTAGTCTCCTAAATAATTACATTTAAAATGTCAAGTCAAGTCAAGACACCCATGTGGCTCACCATGGCTCAAGACACCATGGGTGGCTCAGTCGGTTAAGCAGCCAGCTCTTGGTTTTGGCTCAGGTCATGATCTCGGAGTCCTGGGATCAAGCCCTGACTCAAACTAGGAGTCTGACTCAGGAGACTCTCTCTCCCTTTCCCTCTGCCCCCTCCACCAACCTGATTCGTGGCTGCTTTCTCTCTCTTTTGACTAAATAAATCTTTAAAAATAATAAATAAATACAATTTCAAATCAAGGGAAAAAAACAAAAAACAATTTCAGACCTGTTATTGTTTTTAGAAAACAGTTTAAATCCTAGCACTGCTTGTCATTACTATTATATTGTTCCTGAAGAAATACAGAAATGGTACTTAAAATAGAGGTACACATGAACTATCTCTTTCAATAAGTAAATAGCCTATGGTTGAAGAAAAAGAACTCTGTCTAGTTTAGACAAGAGTCAATGTGAGTCAGTGGGCTTAGACGAGTTGTTATGTCTCAATTTCCTTTTTTGTAATGATAATAATAATTTCCATCATACAACTGTTGTGAGACCAAATTGGCATGGTCTACATGGACATACTTTATTAAAAAACAGCTTTTTATATATAATATAGCAATTTTTCAATATTAGTGTTACAAAGCTAATTCTAAAACCTCAGTAAGCACTCAATTATTTCTAAGACAACTCTGATTTACATTTACATTTAAGCATATTGTCTTTAATCTCTGACATAAAAAATCTTTCTTGCCCAATAATAGGCTTATTAATTGACCGCTTCTGTCTGACTGGTGGAAAAAGCCCCATTGGCTATTTGAAGGCATATCTTACCAACTTGTATCTTTCTGCAGATTCTGAAAAAGTACAAGAAGCAATACAAGAAGGTATTCATTTGGTTTTATCTCTCAATAAAGTCACTAGTGCTGACTTTCACTGGGCTTCATATATGATTATGTGGCTTATGTCTTTGTTAAATTTTCTGCTAAGGTGTTTCCACAAGTAGCAGCCCCTAAATCTGTCTTTTAGAGCTTTGACTTTATTGGAGGTGGACATTCTCAGTGATTGTCCTACACTCTATTTTACACATTGCCTCCATTTCTATAATGGATGAGAAAGTGTAAAATAGAGTGTAGGACAATAAAAAAAAAAAAAGAAAAAACAAAAAAAAAGTTAAAAAGAAAAAAAAAAAAAAAATATATATATATATATATATATATATATATATATATTTCAAGGTCTGGGAGGATCTTTTTTTCTTTTTTTAATCATTAAAATGGTAGAAGAAACTGATGTCCCTCAGAAGAGTATTTATAAATCTCCATGGTCTGCCAGGCATCGCCTCTGCAACAATGTTTGATGGAGCCAAAGACATGGCTTACTGTGACACACAGCTCCGTGTGGCCTTTGATGGGGATGCCGTACTCTTCTCTGATGAATCTGAACATATTGCCAAGGAGCACGGGCTGGACAAATTCTTTCAACATGAAACACTATTTGAGAATAAGCCTCTTGCTCAGGTAGGTCCAGTGAGTTCAAATTAATTTTTATCTACTTATTTTCCAACATATAGACATATATATATATATTTTTTTTTTAAATTATTTTAGGCAAGCCAATCTTCATTTCTTATCCTTTATACTTTGCTCCCTTTCTTATCCTTCATACTTTTCTCCCTTTCATGAACTCCTCATTTTGAAACATCTACTGCCCATTTGGGATTTTTGTTTGTTTGTTTTGTTTTGTTTCAGCATTCTTTTATCTATCCTTTTTGGAAGTGTTTCGATGATCTTCTCATGATAATGAGTTCACCTCAAAATTACAAGTAATAGAGGTAATATGGCTTACCAGTAAGCTATTTCTACATAAGTTCTCAGAATAGTAAAGTGATTTCCAATAGGTCAGTTAACATTTGTGGACCTCTCTGCCCATAAACTTCAAACTCACTAATGGCATTACTTAATTGAGAAAATCTGCACAAATGAGAGCTCAAATTGAATCACAATAATGAGCCTCAAACAAGTGCAAGCTATGAACACCTAATCAAAGTGAAACCGAATATTTAGGTTTTTTGGAATCAATCCATGAACTGAAGTGTTAAAAAATCACAGTGTTAGGGTGCCTGGGTGGCTCAGTGGGTTAAAGCCTCTGCCTTCGGCTCAGGTCATGATCCCAGGGTTCTGGGATTGAGCCCCGCGTCGGACTCTCTCCTCAGCAGGGAGCCTGCTTCCCCTCCTCGCTCTCTGCCTGCCTCTCTGCCTACCTGTGATCTCTGTCTGTCAAATAAGTAAATAAAATTAAAAAAAAAAAAAGTCACAGTGTTAAAATGAACAAAAGTTACAACTTCTGAACCAAAGGAAATCTGAAACATCAAAATATTCTCCAAACTGAATCTGAACTGACAGATGAGTTTCAATCTAAGAATTTTAGCAAAGAATTCGTCTTTTTTTCTCAGCTCTTCTTGAATGTAAGACAAACTTAAATGTTATTATTTTTAATTACACTTATAAAATATAAATAGAATAACTGAAAGTAAAAACGTTTCACTAACTCACCCCATATCATAGCAATTCATATTTAAACTGTGTGTGTGTGTGTGTGTGTGTGTGTGCATGCGTACGTGCGTGAGAACGCACACACATGTAACTTCATAGTCCCTCCCTAATAGCTTCTTCGGAAGCCTTGATCTTAGTGAAGTTGTTCAATGTTAACAAATTGAAAGGAAAATCCTTTGTTGTATTTTATTTAAGTCTGCTTTGCTGAAATTCAGAGCCCACTGTGTAGTAGCCTCTAACTACTACTGAAATTTGGAATATTTCCAGAAAAAGAACACTTAAAAAAAAAAACTTTCAAAAGCATACTTAAAGATAATCTTAAAATACCATTTTCTCATTACAGGTAAAGAATTGAAATTTCTTTTAGACTTGGCACTAATCATTTCCCTTTTCCAGGTTAAAGAAGTTGTTCTTCCCATTAAACAATTGAAATTGTGAAGCCCAACACTAGTTATTGCTGGAATACCCAACACATTTCTATTAAACATACTTGTTTTCATTATGCAGTCCTTCTGGCAGTGGATGAAGATGCTGTTTTTTACACAGACAGGGTAGCTTTTCTATAAACAGGCTTTGCCAATGTGTTCCACTCATGAGAAAGAAGTTATGAGGTATGATTATTACCCAAGCCTTTCAAGTATGTTGGTCGTGGGACTTACGGCTTGGTCATGACATTGTCTCAAATGGAGGAGACAGCTGAAGAGGATTAACTTGGCTACTCTTGTAACTTTATTAAAAGCCTCCAGCGTGGCACCATAACAAGTAGTGGACATTTCCTGATTTGATCCCTACCTTGTCTCACCATTCTCAGACAGTTGTTCTCCAACTGTGTGTGTGTTTGTGTGTGTGCACATGTGTGTATTTTAATCAGAACTGTTGAGGTATAATTTATATACAGTAAAATTCATAATTTTTAGTGGATGCTTCTAAGAGTTTTGACAAATGCATACAGTTATGAAACCATGACCAAACTCAAAGTACTCATTATACTCACAAAATTCCCTCATGCCTCTTTGTAGCCATCCTACCCTGCTATCTCCAGGATCTATCCACTACTAATCTGATTTCTGCCCCTCTAGTTTTGACTTTTCCAGATGTCACTTAAATGGAACCACACAGGATACAATATTTTGAATCTGACTTCTTTTATTAGCATTATGTTCTTGAGATACATCCATGTCAATCCATGTGTTAGTAGTGTCTGTTCCTTTTTATTGTTGAGTCTCTTCTATGGATGTACCACATTTTCTTTATCCATTTACCTGTTGAAGGATATTTAAGTTGTTTCCAAATTTTTGACTTTTATAAATAAAGCCATTTGAACATTTGCATACAGGGTTCTGTGTAAACTTAAGATCTAATTTCTCTTGGATAAATACCTAGGAGTAGGATTACTAGGTCACACAGTATATGTGTCACTAGGTCATATATTTAATTTTATAAGATACTGCCAAAGTATTTTCCAAAGTGACAAGACCACTTTGAATTCTCAATAGTGCTATATGTGAGATTTTGTTGCTCTATACTTTGCACTGGTAAGTTGTTTTTTGTTTGCTTTTTCTAAGCTATTCTAGTGATTATATAATGGTATCTCTTTGTGATTAAATTTGTATTTCTCTAGACAAATGATATTGAATATGTTATTAGGTGTTTATCTGCCATCATGTGTACTTTTCGGCAAATATATCTGTTCAAATCTCTTGCTCACTTGTATTGGGCTTGTTTATTATTGAAGTTTGAGAGTTAACATATTATGGATAGAAGTATTTTATCAGATGTGTTGTGCAAATATTTTCTCTCAGGCTCAAGACAAGCATATCTTTTTATTCTTTTTATCTTTCAGTGTATGTTGATGAACAGAAACTTATAATTCTGTTGAAGTTCAACTTGTCAGTTAATGCCTTTATTACTTGTGTTTTTAATGTCATATCCAAAAACTGACAAAGTCACATAAATTTCCTATGTTTTTGTACAACATTTTGTAATTTTAGTTTTTCTTAAGGATTATAACCTATTTTGAGTTAACTTTTGTATTTATGCAAAGTATTGGTTAAGTTCACTTTTAATGCTTATGGGTATCCTAATTGTTCCAGGATTATTTGTCAAAAAGACTGGCTTTCTATTCCTTTAACATAGGTGTCTATGCTTTTACCAATATCACACTGTCTTGATTAGTGCAGTTTTATAGTAAGTCCTGAGATCAGGTAGTGTGAGTTCTTCAAATCTGTTATATTTCAAAATTCTTTTGGATATTCTTATTCTTTTGCATTTTTATACAGATTTAACAGCGACCTTGTGCATTCCTGGGGGAAAAAAAAAAGTCCGCTGGAATTTTGATTTTGATTGTGTTGAATTTTTAGCTTAATCTTGGTGTGGGGACATCTTAATAGCAAGTCTTTCAGTCCATGGACATGGTATATCTCTCCATTTATTTAGGTTTTCTTTGATTTTTTCCATCAGTGTTTCAAATATTTTTGTGTCCAGATATCACTTTGTAAAATTTCTACCTAAGTTTTTCATAATTTTTGGTGTTATTATGAGTGATATATTAAATTTTTTATTTCTAATCTGTTTGTTAATATATACAGCAATATACAGAAATACAACTAGTTTTTGCATATCAACTTTGTATCTTACAAGTTTGATAAATTGACTAGTTAGTATAGTAAAATTTTTGTAGATTATTTGAGATTTTCTCCATAGACAATCCTATGAATAAAAACGCTTATTTCTATATTTCCATTCTATATGTGTTTTAATTTTCTTTCTTGCCTTATTACCTTTGCTAGTTCATTCAGTACAGTATTCAACAAGAGTGATAAGAGGGCACATCCTTGCCTTGTCCCTGATCTTCAGGGCAGATCATTCACTCTTTGACTCCTAAGTATATAGAGAAAATATATTTTGTATGATTTCAGTCCTCTATATTTGTTGAGGAGTGTTTTATGCCCAGAATATGGCCTATCAAGGTGAATGTTTTATGTGTACTTGAGGAGAACATTGATTCTGTGATGTTGAGTAGTCAAAATGTCAATTAGCTTAAGTTGACATGTGTATTAGTCAGGTAATATTGCCCAAGTTTTCAATATTGTCAATGATTTTCTATTTATTTCTATCCACTCTTGAGGAGGCAGTGTCAAAGTCTTCAAGAATATTTTGAGGATTAATCTATTTTTCCTTTTAATTATATGCATTTTGCTTCATGCATTTTTTAATCTCTTTCACTTACTGCCCAAATATTTAGGATTGTTCAATCTTCTTGGTGAAATAATCCCTTTTCATTATGTAATGTCTCTCTCTGATAGTCATATAACCACCCCAGTTTTTTGCTTTTTTTTTTTTTTGAACTGGTGTTTTTACTGTATATATTTTCTATAATTTTTATTTTAACTGATTATGTTTTTACATGTAGATTGCTTCTCTATTTAAATTGGCTTTCTTGTAGAATGATTATACACACACACACACACACACACACACACACACACACACACACAAACACACACAGACACACATCTACCTATCTATCTCGTGTTGCTTTTTTTGGTACGGTCTGACAATCCCTGTGTTTTAATTGCTATTTTTAGACCATTTACATTTAATGTGAACATTACTCTGGTTGGACTGAAACCTATCATCTTCCTCCTTTTTCCTATATGTTTTTTTTTAAAGATTTTATTTATTTATTTGACAGAGATCACAAGTAGGCAGAGAAGCAGGCAGAGAGAGAGGAGGAAGCAGGCTCCCCACGGAGCAGAGAGCCCGATGCGGGGCTCGATCCCAGGACCCTAGGATCATGACCTGAGCCGAAGGCAGAGGCTTTAACCCACTGAGCCACCCAGGCACCCCATCCTTTTTCCTATATGTTTCATCTGTTGTTTGTTTTCCCTTTTCTTACTTTTTAGCATTTGGATTTATTATAGTATTATATATTTCCAGGATTCCATTTTATCTCCATTATTGACTTATAACCCATTTTAAATTTTTCAGTGATTACCCTAGGATTGACAACATACAACTTTAAGTAATCACAGTCTATTTGCAAACAATATAATGCCACATCACGTATAATGTAAGAATCTTAAAACAGTATATTCTCAACATATTCCTCCCATATTTTGTGCTATTGTCACACATTTTATTTTCAGCTATACTATCAACTCACAGTACCTTGCTATTATTTTTTATTTGACTAAACAAATATATTTAGAATGAAGATGGATAAGAGAAATAATATGTCTTTTTTATTCATCTTTATTTTAATCATTTCCAGGGTTCTTAATTTCTTTGTGTAAATCCAACTTTCTCCCTGGTATCATAATCAATTTGCCATAAAACCATTTTTAACACTGCATGTAGAACTGGTATGCTATTACCAAAAGCTCTACTTTTCTTTGTCTGAAAAACTCCTTATTCTCCTTCATTTATGAAAAATATTTTGACTACATATAGTTTTTTGCATTTACCATATTTTTCTTTCAGGACTTTGAAAATACCCATCCATTATTTTCTGACTTCCATAATAGTCTCCAATACCACTTCCAGTGGTGGAGGTTTTGTTTTGGTTTGTTGTTTTGTTTTTTTCCCTTTCCCCATAGCAGTGGATCTTTACCTATGCCCTAGGGGTGACAGTGTTTGAAGCCCCTCTTCTGGCAGTGTAAAACTTTTGTTACTTAGGAAACATGGGGCAAGGTGGAGTTTTAGTCTTTTCTCACAGTGGTAGCTGCTCCTGTCCTCTAGCCTGCATTACCAAGGACTGAATTCTCTCACTTTCCATCCTGCCTATAGTATTTCTCATAAACAACTAGGAAAGTCCATGGGAAAAAACAAAAAAAAAAAACAAAAAAACCTGTAAGAGAGTGTTTTGGGTCTGTAACTTTCAGGGCTTCTTTGTTCTCTTATTAGTCCACATTTGACCTTTATCAATATTTTTTTAATTATTTCAATTTTTCATACTTGCTTATATGGTGTCTGGTATAAAGTCTTCCATTGATTTGCCAAAGATGTGTCAATTCTTGAGTTCTATATGTCCTTGAAGAGAACCTTTAGTTCTCTTTAATTTTTTTGTAGTTTTTCTTTAGTTTTGTTTTTTGTGGGGTTTTTTTTGTTTTTTTGTTGTTTTTTTTTTTTTTTCATTTAAGTTTCATGTTAGTCTATTGTCCTGTTACCTCAGCTCTCTAATGAGGTCAATAAATGTTAAGATTTTTCTTTTCAGATTATCTGGGTTTTTCTTGTTAAGATAGGAGTATCATCAGTCTTTCCAACTTTCTCCATCCTAGGCAGGTTCTAAATGTTTTAAGTCATACAGCTTATCAAAAAAGATATTTTTTAGTAACTTTACCTATTTATATATTTTTATTGACAAATTATATACCTGTACTTCTGCACAAATGTTTAAATTATAAAAATACCCAAAAATAGAAATAAGAAGGGATGATATGGATACCTGGTTTCAATAAGGTGACATATATGGACTGGTCTCTATTTATTCCCTTTGGAAACTACTCAAAAGCAGCAAGGAGAACTATATTCCCTGTGTTTCAAAGCCAAATTAGTCATGAGTTGGATGACTCCCAGTCACCATATCCCCTTTGCAGCTTTTTCCAAAAAATAAATTAATTAATTAAAAAATAAAATAAAAATAATAGTAGTTTTTTCACATATAGATATAGATATAGATCTTTCACCGTTAGGAAGTGAATTTTATTTGTTTTTTTTTTCCCCTGATATATGCTGCCTCAGAGAAACAGTGGTCTAAACAATGTTTAAATCTAAACAGAAAAATGAATAAGCCATGTTTATTAAGAAACAGTTTGTTTCTGGACAGCAGAGAAGAAGGAATCTTTTGAATTATGAAATCAAATCAGCCTTAAAATATTATCCTTAACCTTTGCCATAAACCCTCTAATTGCTCCAAGGAAAACCAACCTGCTTCAGTGATGAGTAATAAAAACAGAATCAGCACAGAATATAAGCAAAGATACTGAGAAAAAGGGAAAGAAGGGCAAAATCTAATAGATGTAGATCTCTCACTAGAAACAGTAGCCAAAGTATAGGTAAAAATTGTTACTAAACATTTACTATAACTTTTAAAAACTTAAAAAAGCAAGTCAGGGTCATAAAGTAGAAATGTTAGAATCAGGGGAGAGAAGGTAAAAAGTTGAATGGTAGAACTCTGGAAATGAGGGGAATTGAAAAAAATAGGATTTTAGAAAGAAAAATAATAGAAAATATATCACAGTTAAAGAAAATCCAACATATGCATAACTGGAATCCCTGAAAGGGAAAAAAAAAAAAAAAAGTGACATTATGTTCTGAGGGGAGAAAAGGGTTGTGTGTGGTAAATACAAAGATGCAAATGTATATAAAAACATAAACCAAGAAAACATCTTAAATTGTCAGAAAATTTTAATGCATACATTAAACTATTAAAAGAAATTGAACAAAATTATGATCATCAAGACATGCCCTAGTAAAATTTTTGACATCAAAGGTGAAGAAGTAATTCTTTGGGGAGCCTTTACATATGGGTGAAGAAGAAAATCAAGCTGTCCTGTCTTTTCCATAGCAGTACTCAATAGCAAAAGACAGTGGAGCACTACTTATAAAAACAACAACAACAACAACAACAACAAAACCTAAGAAAATGGAAAGAAAATCTAAATCACAGATTCTATTATCCAGCTAAAAGTTCATTTAGGTAAAAAGAAAACAGAACAACAGTTGAAAATGTCATGGTTTGTTATTTCCATAATATATCCATGAGAAAACTAGAAGACAACATTTTGGCCAATATGTAGATGGCCAGAAACACAAAGGAACAAATGAATGCAAAATACATTTAATCAGAGAACTAAAACTAAAACAATTGTAGGGAATAGGATGGCAGAAAAGAAAGTACACATTGTTTGTCCTAACAATGGGGAACTTATATAACTAACAAAAACTGGAAAAATGTGGAGGAAAAAGACTTAAGGAAGAGTAAGTATGTTGATAAGTTATAATAAGTGATCAAAGAATAAGATGTAAAGCTGATAAACAGAAATATGAAAATCTTTAATAATGAAAATATAAACACTGAGAAAAAGGAAACAAGTAAATTGTTTGGTTGTTCTCAGTCTTTTACCAAACAAGTAAATTGTATGGTTGCAAAAGAAATCAAGAATGAGAGAGAGATGAAGTACTGTAATTTCATTATTTATCACTGTAAAAAATAATAGATCCTGGATTAAAAAAAAAAAGAACAAACAGTACTATAAAAAGTTATAGTCACAAAGGTAACCAATAGAAAGAAATAATACAAACCTTCTTAAATCTTAGATGAAGCACACATACACATGCACAAAGGAAAAAACAAACACCCAATGAACAATCCTTTAAAATCTTTAAACAAGGAAAATGCAATAAAAATCATAAGAACCATTATGACATATACTTGTAATACCAATAAATATAAATGGCCCAAAACTCCACTCTGTTTTAAAAATCAAGACTTCCAGATTGGAAAACATAGCAGAATCCAAATCTTGCTCTATTCCAGAGAAACAGCTAAAACTGAGTGTTCAGAAATGCTGAAGATACGCACAGGCAATTGTAAATATAAGACAAGGCTAGATTCAAGCCAAGAAGGCACTGAACTAGATAAAGAAGTATAACTTCATAATATTAAAGTGTGCAATTCACAAAAAGAAAACTAAAATAGTTCTTTTGGGGATTAACCAAACGTTATTTAAATAGAGTATCCTATTTTGCCATGGATAATTTATGTCTGTTGCCCTTATACTTTTTATAGAAACTTTCACTATTAAAACATCAATGTTTAGATAATAAATTATATGGTCATCCTACATTTATTTTAGTAATGCAAGGATAGTTCTTTCTAAGGAAATATACTTACATAAAATGCAAGGAGTTTCAGTATTGTTCCATTGGCCTTAGAATATTGCATGTCTAATGCAGTACTATAACCTTTTATAAGCTCTTATAAGCCTCTGCTTTTTTAGCATTCACTTTAGCTCACTGGATCACAGCTGTGACATATGTTCCTTTTACAGGGTCCCTTAAAAGGCTTTCTGGAAGATTTAGGCAGACTGCAAAAGAAGTTTTATGCCAAAGACGAACGGTTACTTTGCCCTATCAGGACCTACCTGGTAACAGCCAGGAGTGCAGCCAGTTCAGGCGCCCGAGTGCTGAAAACCCTTCGCCGCTGGGGTCTAGAGATAGACGAAGCTCTTTTCCTTGCTGGAGCCCCCAAAGGTCCTATTTTGGTGAAGATAAGGCCACACATTTTCTTTGATGACCACATGTTCCACATTGAAGGGGCACAGAAGTTTGGCACCATCACAGCTCATGTACCTTATGGCATTAATCAAAAAATGAACAATTAGGGATGGGGAGGAGAAATAAAGCAGTAAGTCCGGTATTACAGAAGCCACTTCTTGTGGATCTCTAGGGTAATTAGATAGGTACTTCAGAAGATTGGACCAGAACTTAGTTCATTTGGAAAGGTTTCCTCTGTTTTTGTTGTCGTTTTGTTTTGTTTTTTGTTTTGTTTTTTGTTTTTATTTTTGTTCTTATTTTTGTTTAACATTTTGAACACTTCAAGCTTCTTCTTTGAGCTCTCAGTACTATTGAACACCAGTGCCCCTATCCTTGTGTGTAAGTCATACTGATGACTCTTTAGGATAAGTTTAGAACTAGAATGTTTGAACACTGAAAGGGCTAAATCCCAGTTAAGTTTTACAAAGCATTGCTCATTTTTGGATGTTAGTAGATAGAATGAATTTTTACCCTTTCATCATTGTAGAATATTGGTCCTCAAAGAAGGAAAGAGTGGGGTTAAACACGCTCTTGAAAATTAGAGTTTTTTATTCTGTTGCCTCTGTGACCAGCTTTTTAATCAATGCAAAATTAAAAGGTCACTCCACCTGCATAAGTATACCAATTCTGACACTGCTCATTCAAAAATAAATCAGCAAGTTATTCATATAGGGCACTTTCCATTTAAGATGAGCTCCAGACAGAAGCTCCTGGGAGAGCTTCAAAGAAGCTTATCTCTTGGGTGTGTTGCCTCTGGACCACAAGTTTTCATATTTGAAGTCTCTGGCTCTGGGCCTGGCAGGTAGGTCCACTGTTTACGTGGAAAAAAAAGCCTTGGCTACCACTTCAAAATGTAACATGAAGTGTAGTATCCTAGTCTTTCACTATTACCATTCTTTTGTTATTTTTGTTTTGTTTTCAAGAACATTGACTGGTTTTTAACCATACTCTATTACATAATAGGCACAGTGATCTGGTTATTTTCATGCCACCTCATTTTCATACAAACCAAAGGTTTGTAACAGAATAGTATTAATACCCTCATTTTTTTTAATCAATGAAGGACATAACATTCACAAAGAAAAAGTAGCTCGTCCAATAATGAGCAGCTAATAAGTGGTAGAACTAAAATTCAAAATCAGGTCTTACTTCAAAAGCATTATTCTATTTTCTCTTTGTTATATAGCCTTCCACATCAAGTCCTTATTAATTCCATGGCCATAGGACCCTTCTTGAACAGATTAGTCATTCCATTAAGTTCTATGCTTAAAAATAGTTACAAAGCAGATCTGGGGATTTCCCTCCTCCTCCCCTCTTCATGCCCTCTCTTGTTCCTTCTTCCCCCACCTCTCTCTCCAGTGCACTCATATATACATATTCCACCCCAGCTCTAGTTAAGGAATACTGCTGCTGATATATAGCTTTTGCTCTGCTTAATTTGATGTAAGCTAGTCCAAAATATATCAGTCATGACACTCACTGAGTACCTTCTGTTTTCTATGCATTCTCCAGTGTGAAGACCACAAAAGAAATTCAGACATAATTCCATTCTCTTGGAAATTTTAAAACCTTGAACAATCCTGTAGAATAAGTCAAGCATGTAGACTGAAACAGTTGACACTAGAGGGCTGTTTGTCCTCAGTGCCAAGTGAGGGTCACCCAGGAAAGTGAGGCAGACATCTGCATGGGCTGGAAGTGGTCAAACAACAGAACTGAGGTGAACTTTGAAGGATGGAAAAAAATACAGATAGATGGACAAAGAGGAAACAGATGTGCTCTGGGATCAGTGAGTTTGAGAGGCAGAGTCAAATTACACAAAGGGTGGAAAAAAAGCCCATCCCTGGTGATTTCTGCTCCGGTGCCTTGTGGAATCCCCAGGGACAGTGCTCCTTCCCTCCTGTGAGCTTCATCTCCAGCACTACTTCTGGCATCCTAAAGCTCTTCTATTTGTAATGTGACTGTTCACTGCATGTTACATCCTTCCCAAATGCACAGGAGTGGAGGAGAGTTTAATCAAAATCATCTAGGGAGTCTATTTCAAACTATACAGGTTGTGTGTCCTCTTGTCCTGAAGATTCTAGAATGGGGACTGTCGCAGGGGAGGTCTCTGTGTCTGTGCCAGACGGTAAGGACTTTGAGGGCAGAAATGGTGTCCTATTTCTCTGTGACTGTCACAGGGCACGGGGCCTCACACATACGGGATGGGTGAGTAGATGGAAGGAATGAAGACTTGAGAAGAGCTTGGTCTAAAGCTATGAAGTTTGCAGTTTGAAGATAGGTCACTGTGGCAATAAGCCCTGACATTTTTCGATCACTTTGTAGTGTAGAAAGCACTTTCCCTTCCATTTTTACATTTCATCGTCTCCTGGAGGAGACGTGGAAGCACTGATGAATGGGCCTACTCAGAAGTCTGTGTCTAGAGAAAGTCCAGGCTTTCCCACTGTATCTCTACCCGTATCAAATAAGACCACTGGCTGATGACTTTTCCATAGAGATCAATGCCGTCATGGTTTTCAGTTCTCAGACTGTGGTCCACACACCAGCGGCGTCTGAATCATCTGGGAACGTCCTAGAAATCCAAAGTCTCAGGTCCCATCTGCAACCTAAATTGAATCCTAAACTCTGGCACTGGGGTCCTTCAATTTCGGTGGGGGCGGGGGCGCTGTTGTTTTTACGAGTTCTGCAGGGGATTCTGATACTACGCTAACGTCTGAGAACCACTAGCCCGGAAACTAGCTGTTTCCGACTGGTTCACGTCGCTAAGCTCTTCGCCTTAATCATAATAAAAAAGAGCTCTTCCTCAGACTCCAGAGGGTAGGAACCCCTCATTCTCCTGAGGGTTAGAAAACGGCACTGAGGGGTAACAAGTCCCAGGGATCCTTAACCGAAAACACACTAAGCAAGCCCTGATATGTGGCACTTGTAAATTCAAATATTCACACGGCATTCCCACCGGGTCGACCACCACCACTCCGGGGCCTGCGCTCACCCTCCACGTTCAGGCTGGGGGCCGGCTCCACCGAGTCACCGCAACTCAGGGCGCTGTACAGCCTACCCAATCCGGTGCCCTCGGAAGGAAAACTACAAGTCCCAGCATGCCTCACGCCTCCCCGTCAGGCGGCAGCAGGCCCCGCCCCAGAGTTCCTGGCGTGCAGGTGGCTGCCTCAGCCCCCGACGAGCTGCGATTCCGGAAGTCCCGCGTGGGGGCCGGTGGGCCTTCGGCCCAGGCGGCTATGGCCGTGGCTACTGTAGCTGCACTCCTGGCCGCACTGGGTGGGGCCCTGTGGCTGGCTGCCCGACGGTTCGTGGGGCCCAGTGTCCAGCGCCTGCACGGAGGCGGAAACTCGAGCCTCATGCACGGGAAGACCGTGCTGATCACGGGGGCGAACAGCGGCCTGGGCCGCGCCACGGCCGCCGAGCTGCTGCGCCTGGGGGCGAGGGTGATCATGGGCTGCCGCGACCGTGCGCGCGCCGAGGAGGCAGCGGGTCAGCTCCGCCGCGAGCTCCGCGAGGCCGGGGGCCCGGAGCCGGGCTCTGACGACGGCGAGGCCGGGGAGCTCGTCGTCAAGGAGTTGGACCTCGCCTCGCTGCGCTCGGTGCGCGCCTTCTGTCAGGAGATGCTCCAGGTGTGGGTCTCCGGGAGCCCCTGCAGATCGGGGACGGGAGCGGGCCTCGGCGGATGCGCGAGGCGGGGCCGGAGGCTAGCGGGGTGGGTTTGGGGGTGGTACCGCCCGGACTCCCGGGGGTGTGACCTTGGGTAAGACCGGGTCTAAGTGTGGAAAGTGTCAAATGGTGTGAGAGGGTTTGGGAGTGCAGACTGGGGAAATTGGTAGGAAGGGCCTCTGTTTTCCAAAGATGCTGAGAAAAACATGGACCCCAAAGGAAAATAAGCCAGTTTCTGAATATTTTCTTTTGTTTTGTGAGGAGGGTCCGGGGTGGGGGACGGGGAGAACCTGCCAGGTCTTAAGATTTTTGTTTTCTGTGTCTGAAGTCGGTGCACCAAGCCATCTTCCAGAGCCTGAGAGCCAGGGAGCTTGAAGCAATTTTCCCCCCCTCCCTGCTGGGGTAGGAAGTTTAGCTCTCTGCCACCAGTGCACTCATCAGTACCAGCAGCTTCAACAGTCTCTGGCCTGATTTCTAAATAGACTGGAGCTCGGAATCCCAGTAGCCATGTGCTCTACACGGGAACAGAAATAAATATAATACTTAGTATTTATTGAAGGTTTCCTACATGCCGGGAACTGTTCCCAGAATTTCAGATACTTAAAAAAATTTTCTTCTAATGAAATTAAGGTGCCTTTGGCTATTATTGTCATCGAATCCTCAGTAACTCTAGTAGGCAAATTATCCCCATTTTACAATGTTAGGCAACAAAGGCATAGGTAGGCCAAATAATTGGCCCAGGATCTGTATCCAGAGCCCTTGCTTTTAACTTCTGTATTTCGCTGCCTGCCTATGAGGTGTAGGAATCTTTGTTTAGATGATAAATATTCCACTGAAGTGGGTGTCCTTTGTTGAATAGGTAGAAGAGTTTCCCACAGAGGTGACTTGTAAAAGGGCATATAGAAGAATGAAATTTAAAATTAGCCACTGTGGGAAAGGTGCCAATATGAAACGGAGCCTCTTGGTTTTACAGCAGAGGTTCCCAAACTTTCTAATGCAGACATGATGCCAGGAGGCCAAAGAAACTATCTGTTTATTAAGTAATTAAGTCCAAACAACCTAATAAGTATTTATGTCCTAACAATTTAATAGCTGTTTGAGAAAATAATACACATAATTGAAAGAAAAAAGATATTTCATTCTTCAATAACCATAATTACTAATGGGAAATGTGCACCTGTCGTTCACTGCATAAACTTCGCAGTCTTTGGAATCAGGTTGGAAATGTCCATTCCCATTTCTTGTTCTAAATTGATATTTAACATTGTACTTGCATTTTACTAAAAACTCAGGTTTACGAAGATGGGACACCATTGAAAGAAATTTAGCACGATTTAATGTTGATGATGTGAACCATTTGCTGCTAGTAGTTTTTGAGTTGTTGAGCAAAGTTTCACTTTGTTTTCATGGAAAATTTAAAATCCCTAGCACCCTGTGGAGTTCCTTGTGAGGCTCTGAGGCACCTTGATGCACAGTTTGGGAACTGTTGCAGATCTAGAGAAGTTTTCTGTTTCTTTGTTTATCTTAATGGCTAGTATTTCATTATCAGGTAAAAGAGGTTAAGAAATAAGAATGCTAGTGTATAAAAGATGCTGAAGCATTAAAAGTGGATCTTCTTATTGTTCATTAAAAATGTAGATGGGTCTGAGTATGCTTCTCATTTCTGAGACTTAAGGCATTTTATTACTTTGGCCACTTGAGACAGAACCAATTAAAAGTTAAGGAGATAAACTTTACTAAGTTTCTTTCTGGCTCTAAAGTCCAATGACTATAACCAGATTTTTTTTTTTTAATGGAAGTATAAATTTCCCACAGGTTGGTATTCATGGTATTTATGTCATTTATCTCCTAGAATTTAAAAAAAAATAGTGAATGATAAAGTCTTAAAATAACACAAGGCTAGCAAAGAATGATGGCTCAGAAATGATTAATACAGGAAACTCTTCCAAAGGATTAGTGAAAAAAGAACACTCCTTTCTTTCCCCCATGGGTGAACTTTTGCCTTTTTTTTGAAGTTGACTGTTGGAAAAGCCAAAGGTGCTTAGACAGACAGAATGATAAATAGTTAATCCTCTGACAGGTAGGCTGTGATAACAGTTGTGAAATTTAACACATTTTTCTTTTTACTTACACTTGGCAAAAGGGCCAGTGAAATTTGAAATTTGACCTCAAGTTAATTTAATCGTAGGTCATCATTGTGTCTTTACACCTGGAACATGTTGTACATTTCTTTTTCTCTGCCCATCAAAAGAGAAGAGAGGAGCCAAGAAAGGGCTAGGGAAAACCAACTTAGGTGAATTTAAGAATGAAAAAACTTCCTTTTGAGGACAATCTAAATTTTAGCATTTTACTCTGGAGAGATGCAGGAGGGTATAGACAAAGTATAAGATTCTGACTATATAGCTCCTCTAAGCTGGGGCCCTTCAGAGTTTGAAAGACGTAGATGTTATATAGGGAAAAAAAGAACCGCATCTTAAATTTATAGTAGAGGTTAAAGGTGTTTCTTGGTCCCAACTCCTCTCTAAATGTCCTTTGCTGTTACTGTAAGACTTAGTATTTATGTACCAGTCATACTTGTTTCTGATATTTTTATATTACCTATTTAATATTTTTCTTAACATTTCTTTGATTTAGTCATGATGTTTTCTCTAGTTTTAATTTACATCCCTGACCCTTTGTATTATATGTCCCAATTTTAAGGGAGCCACTTGGAGGTGCTCTGTCCCTATGGTACCATTTGCCCCTAGAAAAGTACAGAATGAAGTAGTCCTAGTTTGCCCCTGGTGATGATAATAACAGCTCTGGGAATAAACAATGCTGACCTGCCTTCTGCCATATTTCCACTTCTAGCTGACATCGACTCTCTAGCTTTGATGTGAAACTCCCAATTAGAAAAGCAGGCTAGCTTACTAATTCCAAACGGGGGCATTGGTATCAGAAGATTTCATCTTCCAGTTTTTGTTTGCCGCCCAAGAGCCCTGTGATCCTGCACAGGTCACCTAACATTGGGTGCTTAGTTTGCTCACAGAGTTGGTGAGGGTAGATGAGAGGGCATGTGAAAAGCACAACACCAGGTCGGCATTAAACATACAAGTCTTTCCAACCCCCCCATTGTTGAAAACCCACAGAGGCACTTTATAGAATTTTAGTAGTTGCAAGAACTAAAATTTCATATTAGGCCTATGTTCATAATCGCCCCATTCTCTTTGACATTTAAAGGAAGAACCTAGACTGGACGTCTTAATCAACAATGCAGGAATCTTCCAGTGCCCTTATATGAAGACCGAAGATGGGTTTGAGATGCAGTTTGGCGTGAACCATCTGGGGCACTTTCTACTCACCAATCTTCTCCTTGGACTCCTCAAAAGTTCAGCTCCCAGCAGGATTGTGGTAGTTTCTTCCAAACTTTATAAATATGGAGACATCAACTTTGAAGACTTGAACAGTGAACAGAGCTATAATAAAAGCTTTTGTTACAGTCGGAGCAAACTGGCTAACATTCTTTTTACCAGAGAACTGGCCCGCCGCTTAGAAGGCACAAACGTGACTGTCAACGTGTTACACCCTGGTATTGTGCGGACTAATCTTGGCAGGCACATACACATTCCACTGTTGGTCAAACCACTTTTCAATTTGGTGTCATGGGCTTTTTTCAAAAGCCCAGTAGAAGGTGCCCAGACTTCAGTTTATTTAGCCTCGTCACCTGAGGTAGAAGGTGTGTCAGGAAAGTACTTTGGAGATTGCAAAGAGGAAGAACTATTGCCCAAAGCTATGGATGAGTCTGTGGCAAGAAAGCTCTGGGATATCAGTGAAGTAATGGTTGGCCTTTTAAAATAGGAACAAGGAGTGGAAGAGAGCTATTTATAAAACTGGCTGCCAGTTATATCTGTCATCAGAAATGGGGTGGCTTGAGTACTTGCTACTTGAAAACTGTTTTGGTTTTACGCTAGTACTGCTGAGAGGTACATATGGATATTTTGAAGTTACTAAAAAGTTATTTTTTTGGAGAGCATAAAATTTCTGAAAAGATGTCTTAAATATACAGTAAGCATAATGAATAGTAAAATGAGCATTATAATATACTTTAGAAATTATAATTGAGCAAGCATGGATTATGAATATTAAAGAATCCACTGACTTAAACACCTTGTGAACTTTTTCAAATACCTTTTGAGTTTCATGGCCAAAGTGTTAAATATTTTCATTGCAGTGCTGGTTTTTGTGTGAAAACAACATGCCTGTTGTGTGCACAGTTCTTACGTGGAATAAATTTAATGATGCAAATCCTTAATTGTGTGTTTTTTTTTGTTTTTTTTTTGTTTTTTTTTGCTTTTTTACTAGTTTCACTGAAATGAGTCCTTTATCATCATATTAATCTCCACTGATCTTGGTGTGCCCAGTGTCTTTCTTCCCGCATATCTTGCATGCTGCCTTAAGAAGTAAGATTTCTAAAACCCAAATCTGTCACGGTGTCATGTGCCTGTTTAAAAATATGCAGTGGTTTTCAATTGCCCATACAGGGTTACTAGCTACAGAATTTGTTCAAAAGAAGTCTCGGGGCGCCTAGGTGGCTCAGTGGGTTAAAGCCTCTGCTTTCGGCTCAGGTCATGATCCCAGGGTCCTGGGATCAAGCCCCGCATTGGGCTCTCTGCTCTGCGAGGAGCCTGCTTCCTCCTCCCTCTCTGCCTGCCTCTCTGCCTACTTGTGATCTCCGTCTGTCAAATAAATAAATAAAAATAAAAAAAAAAGTCTCAAATGCAGAATCTGGGTGGGTAAAGCAGGTCATAACAATATTGCAGGGGTAGAGTCTCCCAACAAATAAGTTCCTTTTGCCAGTTCCTGGAAGGACTTTGCAGAATGTGATAATTTATAAACCATTTTCATTTAAGTTTAAACTCCTTAATATGAGACTGCCCATGAGCTGGCCATAGGCTTACCTTGTCCTCTTTGTGCTGTCCAATAGAACTTTAGTCAATGATAGAAATAATTATGTCCACACTATCCTATAAGGTACACTTTACACATTTGTGGTTATAGAGTGCTTGAGATACAACAACTGAATTTCTAATCTTATTTTATGTTAATTTAAATTTAAATAGGCACATGTGCCTAGGGACTACTGTCTTAGGCAGCACATCTCTCTTTGCTTAATTGTATAACAACTTCCTCAGTATAGACCATACTCACTTGTCTCTTGGCCTTTCCTTATATCGTTCTTTTAATTCCTGTAGGAAGAACCAGTCCTTTCTCTACTTTGTTTTAATTGATCATAGCAGCTTTACTAAGTATTTGTTCAAAAATCCAGTTGAATAATTAGAATTCTCCAAGGAAAGATTTTATTCTTTTATTCTAGTCTTACTAGTTTTCTTTCCTCAAGTATCAAGTGTCGTACCTGACACACAGTAAACATGGAATAATGATGTTTGAATGAATAACTAAGTAATGAATCTGTGCTGTGCACATACAAAAGGCCGAATAGGGATATTTTAGGTATCTGTTAAAGCATCAAAAGTAATTAGTAATTCTTTGTCTTAATCATCTGTTACTGGAAAAAGGAATTATTAAGGATAGATTTTACTACACTGAATTCAATGACCCTTTTGGTCAGGAGTAATCCTCGATTGGTTATTGTTTTTAAGACTTTCTATTATTTGGTTACCAGTATCAGTTCTTTCTGAGAATGGCAGGATCTTGGCAGATCACACAGAAGATCTGTTTGCCATTAGAGCATTGGGTTGTGAATATGAGAAACACTTAAATGTTTGTACTGTCACAGGTGTATCTTTGCAGGTGTAGTGGGTATATCTGCGTCATGTTCTTTGAAACATATTTTTAAAAAAGAATCCTACAAAGAGACTTGCTGAACTTAGAAATATGGGCAGGAAATACACCAGAATGCAACTTGGAAAAATGGAAGCTAATAAATCTGTCCTACACCTCGACTTCATTAAAAAGAATGCTTTTTTTTTCTTTCTTTTTCTTTTTTATTCAGTTAATACCATCTTTTCTGGCTGCATTTTGATACCCGATGCTTTTCAGGGGAGTTGGGTCTTTTTTTTTAAGAGTCAAGCCTTTCAGAGTTCTTGTTTGTGGCACCATAATAAAATAGGATATATTAATTTATCATGATGGAAAACTAGAAACTCATCTGGAAACACCAAGTATTTGGGTAAAATGAGCCGCCATTTGGAAGATGTCCTTCCCACCCTGTGTTAGATGGAATCGAGAACTAATAGCTATAGTATGACTCGTTGGTTTGGAAGATTATTAAACCCTTCTGTTTTGCTGACTTTTGTTATATTGATACTTATTCTCACCCTTAGCAAAATATTCTTAGAAGGATGCAGCATGCCAGATAATGGACTCATCGAGCCGGAAACCCATTTTCACGTTGGTTTCTGGCTTCATCTTTTGAAATCTTGACTTCTACTTCAAGCGACTTGTTCTGAAAAGAAGTGCGATTATAACTCTTCTGTCTCAACTCAGAGTAGCTATTTTTTAATAGGAGGTTCCCAGTAGCATTTATCTGGGATAGGGATCTCTGGGTGTAAACACACCACCACTTCGGGTTTGATTAACAGCTCACCACTCAGTTTTCCTGACCACACTGGCAAGACACACCACCCCACCCCCCACCCACCCCTCAGCTTCTGTTTTCTTGACTTTGTCATTGAGATAATCCTTTAAAGGATTGCTCAGTGAATGAATGAGCGGGATATATAAAGCATTTAGCAAGGTAGCTGACATATAATGGGCAGTCATCTGTTTCCCCTTCCCCAATGCACCTGATCATTACTGTTAATAGTAATTAGTAATAGTAATGCTTATAGGAGTACATATGATGGAAACAAGACTAAACCAAGGATCAGCAAACTTTTTATAAAAGGCCAGACTAAATATTTAACATTACTAGGCCATATACGATCTGTTACACATTCTTTTTTCTTTCCTTTTTTTCTTTTACAATTCTTTAAAAATGTAAAAACCATTCTTAGCTCATGCAGGCCATACCATTATACTGATGCAATAGCCTAATGGACTGGCTTTTTTTTTTTTTTTCTTTTTTTCTTTCAGACACTGTGCAAGGTAGCAGCAGTTCTTGCATGTACTGTAATTCTAGTTTTTTTGTTTGTTTTTGTTTTTTTTTTAATACGGCTCCCGTTGTTTCTTTATATCATTTCTAATCTTGCATGACTGTTCGTTTGCAGACCCAGGAAGTCTAGAGAATATATTTCTTAAATCTCTCTCCAGCTATCGATTCTGGTATGAGGAAATCGTACTTATCCGCCTTCAACTCTCTCCCCTCACCAAACCTGCTGGGCCTGGCCCGAGATATGAGAAAACCTCTATTTGAATATTTAATTGATTCCAAATGTGCTAAGGAACACTGAAGAGAGAACATGTTACTAATCACCCTTCAGGAGCTTGGCGCCCACAGACAGCTTCAGATGTTTCACAAAGCTTATCTGGACAATAGGGGGTTAAATTAGTTACAGGTTAACGCGGAGGAAGGTAGTTAGGTGAAATGCTCCTTTTTATGCAGACAGTAAGGAAGAATTTTTGCGAAATTAGTTGTTTAACCAAAGTACAGAGAAACACATTTAACTAACGATTGTCGAATAGATTTACTTTAATAATTCCATTCTTTTTGGAAAACATACTGTCTGATGCCCGTAGCCCGTAAATGCTCTAAGCTGGCAGGCTCCCCTCCATCACACCCCTGGCACTGTTGTTCCCACCTGCTGCATCATATATTGCGGAAGAGAGCTGTGTAGCTTTCAGTTATTCATTTAACATATATTTATTGAATGTCTATTATGTGCCAGACATTATTCTAGGCTTTGGGGATGCAGGAGGCCACAAGTAAAACACCAGCATGTGTGTTAGTTGTGCTTGTTATTAATCATAATAGAAGTTATTCATCATAATACAAACCAATGAAAAACGAGTACAGAGAGAAAGAATTTCTATGAAAAGTAAGCTGTTTTCTAAAAACTAAATGAAGGCAAATCACTAGAAACACTATTGAATAAAGTTTCGTAACAACCATCAAATACTAAAAATAGATACTATAAAAATCTAAAAGCACTTTCTTTAGTGCTTTGCAAATGACTTTAAACTTTGACTCCAGTTTAAAGATACAAAAGTTGGAAGTCATGGACTATATTGTTTGAGTAAAATGCAAGAAGATGGAATTCCAAGTGAACTCATACTCAGAAAAACAACAAAGGAAAGCCCTTAGCTTGTATCAGAAGATAGGCAAATGAATGAATGTGCTGTATGTTTCAAGTTCAGGTAATAAATCCCGGGTGCATATAATTCATCTTTATGATTTCCTTCTTTAATCAACTTGTTCACGTAACCAGCCAATTCCAAATAAGAGGCTAGTGCTGTATAAAATAGAGCTATCACGGACATCAGGAAAGTTTCAGTTTGGAGGAATTGGTAATAAACGTGTTCTGCATAGTGAGTCATATTTTCCCAAAGACTCCTCATCTAAATTTGAGATATACATATTACTTGTGCCCCCAATATACTTGATTCTTAGATTTATTTCATCCTGATGGGTTTTTTGCAGCCTAGGATTCATTTTCATCATCAACCCTGTGTTTGTTTCTCTGCTTCATTTAAAGCTCCTACTAATTGTGTCAAATAGGTAAGTTCCTAAATATTTAAGTGATTTTTTTTCAGTACGTCATTTTACCTTTAGAAGTTGCCATGTAACATATGATGTATGATAGCCTGTTCTATCCTAAGTTGCAAGCTTTAGGTCTGTTCAAAAAATAACAAAAAAGAAGTGCTAACTTCCTCTATAGATTCTGACTTAAAAAAAAATAATACTTGCACCTTTTTATATTCTTTGGAGGGCATATATCCCCTAGTGCAGGTAGTTATCCAGTTATCCAGTTATATAGGACTTAAAACCTAATCCTAATGGTACTTTTTAAATCCTAATGGTACCTTTTCTACTATGAGAGCAGTGAGCTGAATGAGTAAATAGGAGTTTAAGTTGTAAATATATTCAGAAGATCTTTATCTGTACAGACCTACATACAGTGTTGGCATTTTAGGACTATCTTGAAGTTGTGCACATGATTTGAGGAAATGCTGAGCACAGAGAAATATATAATCATTATTTGTGAACAAAGCGAAGCGAGTTTCTGCCACCAACCCATGAAAGCACAGGAAATGGCTTCATGTAGTAGGTGTTGGAGTCTAAGCATTCTGTTGACAGAAGCGGGTTCTACCCAGGGGTTTTGTGTTCATGTAATCAAACACTTCAGAGCTGCA